TGGAAATTTTTTTGTTGTAAGTTATATTAGTGTCAACGTCATTTGACAGAAAAATGTAAACAAACAAATTATCAACAAATTATATTAAAAAAAAACATGAATGAAAATATATCAAAATTTATATTTCTATCGCATCCACATTTTTCCTCTAATTGAGCTATTGCCACTTATATGTGTAACACATATGAAAATGCTGGGCATAGCGAGTTATTCGATGAAAAAGGTTTGCTTCCTCAAACTTTCCCAGCAGGCAGGGCAGATTGAGTAAATCGAAATTTAGGTAATGCTTTTACCTAAAATTCAACTAGCTCGTTCGACGTTTTTCACCACAAAAGTAGAACACACGGGGCGTACAAAAATATTCAACTTCCCCACTATGGCAAAATGTTTTGTACGGCCATATTACCCAAATACCCTGGCATATTTTCCAAATATCTACGGCCCAAAATATAAATTTTGTAATTTTCGCACAAATGTCTAGGTCCATTTAGCCGCTAAATACTGCCCGATCTTCACCAAAACAGTCATGCTTATTCTTTGACCAGATTCCCTTCCTAGAATAAAATTTCGTTTTTGTTCGGGTCAAAATTGTGGCCTCTAGAGCGACCAGAACAACAGACAAAATTAAAGTTTTTGGTGCATTTCATCCTCTAAATATTAACGGATCATTACGAAAACAATAGGGATCTTCTTTGGCCAGAACTCATCCTACATGCAAAATTTATGTTGCAAATCTAAACTTATTTTAAAAAATTCTGGGGGAATGCGTACGTCTCTTGTCTGTCCAATTATGGTATGATCAACCTACTCCAAAGGATTTTATTTACCTAATGCGGAAATATATTCTCGGCCTATATAATTGTTATTTTTACCTATATTTTTAAAAAATCTTTTTTAGCCAGAAACACAGAAATGATGGAAAGTACTGACAATGTTCGAAGCGCCTCTCCTCCATGGATTGCCTCGGATCTGGGTACTGGTTCTCAAGACATAGGCACTCTTCAAGACGATGCGCTAGCGTATTTAGAGTACACAAGACAGGAAACTCCAAAACATGGGTCGACCAGGTGTCAACAGTTTTTCTCAGAAAGCCATCAAAACTATTTGGAGTGAATGAAAGAACTTGAGGCTATATTTCAGTGAAAAATTACATAACCGAATGTGCAACAAGAGCACAAATGTGGACCTATCGGAAAATATAAAAAAAAAATTTTCTTCAAATTCCGTATTTATTTCCGAATCAAAAATCAAAATACTCAGTTAAAATTAAAAAAGTCTAAAAAAATATGGGGCCAAAAGAAATTTATGAAAATTCTACTTTAATATCTAACTCTATCTAGTGTTGTATATAAAATTAGTGCCCATTTAATTGTTATATAATATGTATGTTCTGAAGAAAATTTCGTTTCAATTTATTGCTGTATAATCCCGTTACATTAGAACAAGCGAAATTTTCATGTTTTGTAAACATATCACATCGTATATCCCGTTCGATTCATAAAAATTGTAACCTAAAAATGTGGGCCAATAGGTCCAATGTTCGGATTTTATGTAGGTTTGAAATAAATACTACGATGCGCAATTGGGATGAAATTGGATATTTCGTTAGTTTCAAATGTGGTTTTGGAGGAGGTACTAGAAGAAGTGTAGGGATTAAATATTTGGATGTTCAAATTGGGTAATCGGTTCACATTATTATAAAATTAATTTTCAGAAAAATTTGGACAATTTTGTATGAGAGACACCAGAAAGTGTGAACCGATATTCTTCATTTTTAAACATGACTTAAGCTTGTAAGTAATATTACGATGTGCAAATTTTGGTTGAAATCGCTTTCTCCCTTATTGCGCGCACAAGCCAAACTAAAGAGACAATGATCTGGTTCACAGAAACTTTGGGTCTAATTTCCATATTTCGATGCCAGAACATGTCATGAACAATGTCAAACAAATAAACATTTGTTTTGTGGTAATTTTGAAGTTACTAGCAACCTGCCCTTACATTGTATTTATAGTACCATGTTTCTACTTAATTCGACATATACATATATTTCACACACATGTGAAAAATAAAAATATTCATGATTTTGGTATGTGATATTTCATTGAGAAAATATACAGTGAGAGTCAAAAGAAAGTGTACACGAATGCTTATAATATTCCCTGTTTTATATAAACCCTAGTAATATTTTATACAACAAATTATGTTTTTTGAAAATGGTATTTTTTAGCCTCTCTTATTTTCTAAAAGAAAAATTAACAAAATTTCACAAATAGAAAAATTGCATAGTAAAAACAAAAAATAGTCCATATGTGACGCGTCAAAAGAAAATGTACAACATGTTATTCCAATATTTGAGAGATTGGACACAGTTAGATTTTACCGTTATTTTTTCCTTTCTGCATGTTTTTCTTTTATTTCTAATACTGTCAATGATTTAGTAGTGAATTGGTTAGCAACAATTGAACAATTTTGTCAAAAGGAAACCTGCTAAAATTTGGAGGACCAAAAACAGTGAATTTGCCAAACAGAATTTAATATCCACTGTAAAGCACGGCGGAGGTTCAGTGATGGTCTGGGATGCATGGCAGCTGGTGGAGTTGGTAACTTGGTTTTCATTTTAAAGGAAAATTTGAAGCCTAGTGTTGAAAAGTTGCGCTTGGGTGGAGGTTGGATTTTTCAACAAGACAATGATCCAAAGCATACTTAAAAAATAGTTAAGGAATGGCTGCTTTATCACACTCCCAAGCAATTGGATCACCCTCCCCAATCTCCGGACCTCGCGAAATAAGAAAGAAAGAAGCAAGGGCTCGCTCAAATCGGCTATATTGGAGGAATGGCAAAAAATTTCACGAGAGGTAACCGACAATTTAGTCAATTCGATGCCGAGAAGATTACAGGCTGTAATTCAAGCAAATGGGAACCAAACAAAATACTAATATCTATATTAATATATGAATTTATATATTAAGTTTGCATTGTACACTTTCTTTTGACGCGTCACAAATGGACTATTTTTTGTTTTTTCTATTTGTGGTATTTTGTTAATTTTACTTTTAGAAAATAAGAGAGGGGTAAATACCATTTAAAAAAAACATAATCTGTTGTATAAAATATTACTTGATATAGTTTATATAAAAAAGGGAATATAATAAACATTTGTGTACACTTTCTTTTGACTCTCATAGTATAACATAAAAATAGAATCATGAATGAAAATTATTAGCCAAAAGTTCTTATTTTTTATTTAAATCAATATCATAACAGTTATTCCCCGGCATAGACTATTTATTAGGGATTATATTCGATATTTAACTTTAGTTGTATCTACATATATGGGAAATTACAAAATTCTTTTAAAATTCCATAAAAAAAATTAAAAAATTTTTGCGAGCACATTCATGATTTTTGGTACATAGGTTAAGGAAAATATGCTAATTGGAAATCTGTTCGCGTTCACAAATTCGGATGCTGCGCACAAAAGTTATAGCGTTTTTAAATCTTGTATTTCAAATATAAATTAAATGCATTTTGATTTTTTGTAATTTGCGAATTTCTTCATAAATGGTTAAACACATTTGTTTCCTTTGCATATTGGTCAAATAACATTGAAAAATGATTTAATATTCGCGAAAAACAAATAGAAGCATGAAGATATCTGAAAATAAAATAAATAAATTTTTTTAATTAAAACAAAACGTTTTTTAAATTATCGACTTTTTTAGTATGGTTAAAAATATGCGACGCTTTCTTGTTCAAATTCTTTTAGATGATTGTTAAATATCGGTAGATTCATCTGATAAAAGTTTCGACTTTAAAAGTGTGCCGCTCGATGCACTTTACTATGCAAAAACCCTAAAAATTACGCAACGTGAAATGAAATACACAAAATTACACCTATATTAAAAGAATTGATTAAGAACCGCGGATGTGCCGCCACAATCAATTTTGGATAAAATACGCATATTATTCGTGTATCGATATATTTTTGACTTATTTGTCAAAATAAGCTTTTGCACTTTTTCCTACATTAAAATACCTATATCCGCCGTTTTATTGGGCGGAATTGAACATGGATGGGCTCATTAGATTTGACACGTAAAAAAAAATAAAATAACGCGGGGTTCCACGTGGACTTTCTGTCTCAAAAAATAGGTTTTTTTTATAAAAATTTACGCACCATCGTCTTTGGAATCCAATTGATCCCATTCATGAGATATACACTAAACTAAGAAAAATCACGAGTTGTACAATCATATAATCAGTTTAGTCCAGTATCTGGTTGCGCGTCCTGATTATAAGAACAATTCAAAAAACACTGAAAATCCGACTTCAAAATGTCAGCATCCGTTTGGGGTGGATGCAGTGATTATATCGAAAAATCATACATTGGAACCATATTAACCATGGGGTATTCTTCAACATAGTACTGATCACGTGTGCGTGCGTTGTGTAGTTTAGCCACAAATCAGGAAGGAACACAAAAAACTCGTTGGCTTCAACACATTTTCACCCATTTTTTTACATTACCACCATCACAGCTTCCACCCCACTTATTATTTATTACCAATATTTTAAGATTTTGGCAAGAACACTTCATTTTATAGAAATGAATTTAAATTATATGCAATATGTTCATATTTCACGAGTTATAAGTTTGCAAACCCCGGTTTCAAGGAATTTTAAATATTTTTGTAATTTCCCATATGTCTTTATTATGTTAATTTGTATTATTTTTTAAAATTTAATTAGCTTCTGTTTTCTTATAATTTTGCAAACTAAAATAATTTCATGATATAACGAATTGGCCGAAAAGATATTATTCGTTAAATCAAGCGATGAATATATTTAAAATAAAAATTGACAGCCAAATTCAGCAAAAATGTTTTAAACTCCCAATATACACGAAACCGTGCCTATACATTTAAAACCGAAAATACCAAATTTCAACAAATTATTTGAAAACAACAAATTATTTATATTATCATACAATAACTTACCTTAATATCTCCCTCTATTGATCCTGTAGCAAAGAATTCTTCATGAGGATCAAGGCTAATACATTTAATGGCACTATCGTGACCCTAAAAATAAAATAAAGAAATGTAATTTTTAATTTCGAAGTAAACTACTCACAACAGCCCGTTTCTATATTGAGAACGAAAATCCATGCCATACAAACTAAAGAGGGAAACACATAAGAGGACCTTCAGGCATGGCATTTTAAGTTGGCTTTGTTTAATGTAAAGAATTAAGGAGAACGGCGTCCAAAATCAAGTTTGACTCTGATATCCCTTTCTAAAATGACATTTTATACAGTGCCAACTTAACATGCCATGCTTGAGAGTCGTATCTAAATTCATGCGTATGCGTACGAATTTATTCACCTCAAAACGTAAGTACATGTATTTCAATGAATGTTACCCAAATACGCGTTGCGTATCAAAATATAAAATTGAACATTTTCAACATTGACAATGCGTATTTTGTATTTTTTGAAAATGTTGTCATCCATTTTCGCCGTTTCCAATTGGCACAGATGCAAATAAAGTCCCTGCGTATTTGGGTAATACGAACGCCTATCAAACCCTATAAAGGTGAGAAGGTGAGTATTTTTGTACGGAGCGCATTAATTCATTCATGCTTATGCGCATTATTTTATTCACCTAAAAAGTTAAATACATGCATTTCAATGAAGGTAACCGAAATACGCATTGCGTATAAAAATATATAGTTGAAAAATTTGAACATTGACAATGCGTATTTGGGATTTTTTGTTTTTTAAAAATAGAATTCCAGTCATTGAAAATTTTATTTTCTATGAATGTAAAAAATTTTCGGTTAATTAAGAAAATGTTTTCATCCATTTTCGCCGTTTCCAATTGACACACAAGGAAATAAGGTCCTTACATATTTGGGTAATACGGACGTTCAACAAACCTTATAAAGGTGAGAAGGTAGGTATTTTAGTACGCAACGCACTGAATTTTGGTACGGGCCTAAGTTGGAATATGCAAATAATATACACAAAACCATTAAAAAAATATTCCAAAAAGTTGTTTGTTGCTTCAAATTAAATTGTACATTATCCTCATTGTTAATGCACAAAATCAAACACAAGGCTTATATATGGTCGGCCAGTAAGCGAATTCATAGAGAAAACTTAAGTTTAATGTCAATTATTTTTGCTGAGGCGAAAACTAATTGTTTCGCCTTTAAATGAAAAACACAACCAAAACACAAAACAATCTATAATTTGTAGGATAATTTACTTGAAAATATTCTTTAAACTCTTGAAATAGTCCAAATTTGCTTCACAAAGACAATATAAATTAAAATTTAATTGAATGTTGAAAAATGTTTTGACGCCTAACATAATTTTGTATGTATAGGTTTCAAAATATGATTTGACAGCAAACTTTATACTCACCTGTGCTTACTGGTCGATCTTATATAGGCCTTGATCAAATTGAATTTATACTGAATTAAGCAATTTCAATATGACAATGCTGTTGAAAATCAATTGATTGTTATCAAATTGGTTTACGTTTATGAAAATAAATATGAGAAATAAAGGCAAATTTCAACATTATTTTAAATTGGGAGCTGTTTTGCCAACATCATTGTTATTTTATAAAGATTTAATTGCGAAAAATATTACAAACAAATTACAATATATTCTTCTTACACACAGACAAACAATTATGTTGAAACAAAAAACTGTTTCGTAAATATTAATGGGGTAAATATTAATTCAAATTAAGATTTTTTAATGGAAATTAAGGCTGTCGTCTGTCTATGGTATAATGCGACATAACCATCTCGTTCGTAAATCAGAAACAGGCTGTAAATAACATAATTTCGACATATACAAAAATTGGGTACATATACAACGAATGCAAATCGTCATACATATTTACAAAGAAAATCACATACATATTAAACGACGATTAAATAACATTTTATAATTAAATTTCAAAGTGTATGAACCGCTCAGTGCATACATCAATTAACTCCCAAAAACGAGAAGTTGAGAAAAGCGACGATCCAATGTATGTTTTTTTAATTCCCTTATAATATGAATTTTACTTGATAATTTAAAGGCCATACATCGCTTAGTAATCGCTTTATTATTCAGGAATGATTTTATAAATTAAGACAAATATGACTATACTATACTGAACGCCTCATATTTTAATTTTAATTCGACTTGAAAAACTATACATATATATTTTGTTTACAATTAGTTACCTGTATACGTTGTTTTAATGTCCTCTGCCTCATATCGAATATGCAAATATCTCCTTTCTTTCCACATGATATTAGTAATTGATGTTGGGGAGCAAATACAAAACAAGATGCACCTTGGTCGTGGCATGTAAAAGCTGTAATGCGAATAGAGAGTTTTGTCAATGTTTTAATTCATATTTATAGTTTTCATACATTCGCTATGAAATTTTTTTATGTTCGTATAAAAGTAGACATATTTTTAGTAAATTTAAATTTGGTTTTCAATTGTGAACTAAAGAATACGTGAAGGTAAAGCAAAGCAGTCACTCTACAACACTAATGCACAAAATAGTACCCTAGTTGGAAAAGTGAGAACGTATTACATTGAGAATCGATTTAGTAATACATTATAATGTCAATTAACAAAAAATTCATTTTAATTACCTTCTCGCTTCTCTAAAGTAGAGGTGTGCAACGAAAAAATGCTCGGAGAACAAATGAGAAATCGATGGTAAACGAACGTGTAATGCACAGCCACTATGACTTGTTGATTACAGTATGCATTATCCGTAACACGCTGCATGTTCTACGAAAATAATATTTCCCTTTATACTATACTATACTATACATATAATACATAATGTAATCGATGAGTGATAATATATTCTTTTATAGTAATATTATGTGAAATAATTTATTCTCCGGGTTTCATTGGTTTTAAATGAAAAACATTTTTTCATATATTTTATAATTATAAATATAACGATTTTACATATCGTTTTAAAAGGAAAAAAACGTATTCACAGAATATTTTTAGGCACAAGGACACTAAATCCCATCCCAGTGGGAAAAGTGAGAACGTATTACATTGAGAATCGATTTACTAATGCATTATAATCATTACATTCTATAATGTATCCGGAAGAATCGAGAAAATAATATAATTGAACAAAAATTTAAATTATTAAAGACATTATACATGATATTTTATATAATATATCCCAAAGGTAACGAGAGGGTAATTTCAATTGACAAAAAATTCGTAATAATTACCTACTCGTTTCCCAAAGGATACGACAAGGTAATGAAATATTTTATTTTTTTATTGATTTTTATTTTTGAAGTCCCGTTATCTGCCGGCGCTCTTATGTCGGAGTGTAAATTTGTCCATTTTGTCTGTGTCGTGCACCAAAAAGACGTAATTTTGTTAAAGTCTGTGGAAAATTACAGTATTTTTGGGTTAATTGAACCACATGATGGTCAAAAAAAATATCTTATACGAAGACACATGTACATGTCCTCGGATAATTAGGCCCTGTTAATTGATTTTCCCGTTAAATGGTTCAAAATTCATGTCATCAAAAATAAATTTCCTCTTATTTTTCACCGGTTAATTGCATTATTATTGAAAAATAATCAAAATTCAAAATTCATGTCATCAAAAATAAATTTCCTCTTATTTTTTAACCGGTTAATTGCATTATTATTGAAAAATAATCTATCATGAAAAATAATAATAATTTTTATAGACGCATGGTTCTTTTTGAGAATATGCATATAATCCCTTTCTGAGTCGATTTATGCATGTCCGTCCGTCCGTCTGTTGATGTTAAATTGTAACAAAGTACAGGTCACATTTATAATCCGATTTATATGAAATTTGGTACACCAAATTAATTTGTCCCAAGGACGAACCCTATGGTATATGTATGGATTAATTTTAGTTAGTTCACATAAACATATTTAAGTTCATTCAATTTCATGTCAATGTTCCTTCGAAGAGCGACGTCTGTTAGGATACATATGTAGAACACAGCAAAGTGGTGAAGGGTATCATATAGTCGGCCCAGTCCGACTTTATTATTTTCCTTACTGGTTTTACATACATATTTGACATCATTTATGAATAATAGAAAATAAAGGTCAGTACACCACATTCGGAAAATTACCCTTAATATAGAAAATAAAAGTCAGAATGTACCAGAAATTGCCAGAATTAGTAGAAAACAATAAATAATATTATAATATTCGAAAACATATGTTTATTGGTAAGGAAAAACTGCGAGAAAGCTAAGTGTGATTTCTGTAATTGAACAAACAGTTCATTTAAGCGGGTATCGGATAATTGGTTCCTTGGTTAATTGAACAACAAACTTTGCAATTTTTGATGTGCAATTAACCGAAAAATACTGTATCAGCAAAAAGAATAAAACCCGTTGTGTAAATGAAGTGAATAAAAAAATATAAATTGTAAAATTATTAATCTTTAACACAATTCCAAAAAAATGGATACACCAATCCCATGAATTAGAATCTGATCTTGATCGCGTAAACGTTGAAATCAGTTGTTGCGCATGCGGTTTTCACATACACCGAATCAATCTCCTTCAATAACTATGAATTTTTCGATGTTTCATGTATCGGCCAAAGTGTGCCGTTCGATGCACTTTATTATGCAAAAACACTAAAAATAGCTAGAAATGACCCAAGTTCTATAAAAAAAATTGCGTAACAGCCCTCCTTGGCATTGAAACTTCTGCCCCAATTTTGTTGGCAATACATTTTGTTTCCATGTATATTTAGTCGTATAGAATATATCTTATTAACTACTAAATGTATGTGATAATATGCTTTGACAAGTGTAGAGCGAACTCAAGTAATCGAGATGTTACTGCTACACATAAAATCGATTTTTAAAATTGTGTGATGAACATGACAAAAACCTAAAAACAGAAGTATAATTTCATATCTTAATATTAATTTGATTTACACTGCAGCTGATGTAATAAAGGTGGTTTGATCTAACAACCATTACTTATTTATTAGAAATAAATTCAAATTAAATCTAACCATATTCCTATTTATTCCAACAATTCTGTTATCTCTTCTATAGATTCGTCAAATATTTTTACTAAATCATGCTGCTTAGCCCATCGTGTTTCACAATATGAATGCAGTCGATTGAAAGATTTATTTGCTTCTCGCAATATTCGATGTAAATTTGAAATGTGAGAGGAACAATGAATTTATGCTGCAGAAGGAAATTTAGATTTAATAATTGCCTGTACTTCATTACAATTGACAGACAAGTTAGATGCACCGTCATATCTTTGACCTCTCAAAAATGTTGCATCCAAACCTAACCCGATTATTGTGTTTATTATGATGGTCGATAATTTTTTTCTTGTTAATCTTTCTATTTTGACGTAGCACAGGAAACATTATTTGTCTTTTTTAGATACCTTGTCGAAAATCATTATACATTTATATTTTTCGCCAAAAACCGCTAAAACCGAAAAGATTGCAGCACTTTTCATTTTCTAAACAATAGACTTTCGCATATATTCTCCAATTATTTCTATTAACTCGTTCTGTAATCTGACTGTACTCTCTAAACTTTATAACTAACATTCGATACACATGATTTATATACTCGTATGTGGGATTACATTATCGAGTGCTAGGAATTTTAACCAATATTATGTACTAATTTTATAAACTAATGTTAAAGAATGGCGACGAATACACATTTTATTGTAAATTTAGACAATACATTATACAGTATTTTTCGGTTAATTGAACCACACGATTGGGCAAAAAATATTGCATAGGAAAATACATGTAATTTTTTTCGGATAATTACCCCTGATTATTGATTTTCCCGCTTAATTGGTTCAAAATTCATGTCATCAAAAATAAATTTCCTTTTACTTTTCACCGGTTAATTGCAAAATAATAATTGAAAAATAATCTGTCATTTTTTACATACATATTTGACATAATTTCTGCAAAAGACTATGTAGCATCTCTACTAATTCAAAACATATGTTTATTACTAAGGAAAAACTGCGATAAAGGGTAATATGTATTTGACATTGAATTTCTTTTAAATCATTATCGAATTCGGATAAGCGAACACCGGTTTATTGAAAAAATCAGTTAAATGAAACCAAAAATTATAAACTAATATTTCAGATGAATTTTCAATTATTTTACTTCGGTTAAATGAAAAACCGATTAATTGAAAATCCGTATTAGAGGAAGACATTTTTCCAACCATACAAACAGAAAAGTAAGTTCTTACTCAATTCATTTCATTATTTATAAATTTCACGTTTTTTCATATATTGATTGAAAACTTCGTTCAAACGCAACGAGTTTCGCTTATCCGAAGTCCCATTAATTGAAAATTATGCATAGGAGAAAAAAATTACTGAAATTACAGGTTTTCGCTTAACCATTCGACTGTATTTCCAATTATACGTCATTACTGTAATTGAACAAACTATTCAATTAAGCGAGTTCGGATAATTGGTTATTCGGTTAATTGAACAAAAATTTGAGCAAATTTTGATGTGCAATTAACCGAATAATACTGTAGTCTTAAGTATTATTTACTATTATTAGCACTCTTTATTATTATCACGTGTTGAAAATAAGGTTCCCCAAATTTTAATGAGAGTTATAATAAAATATTTAAATTCTTCTTTGGATTTGTTTCGGCTTAAGGTTAAATAAAATTCAGTATCTTGTTTTCTACTTTTTTTATTTTCCAATATTTCGACTGTCTTCGACAGTCATCTTCAGGGAAATACAAAAATACAATTATTTAATAAGATTTTTACAGAATAATATAACACAAATATTACGTTGTGAGAGAAGCTACAGGTTTCTTACATCGTCTATGCTAAACTAAATTCTAATTCGTCTGTGCTTAGTCCTGATTTAGATTAGGCGAGTTTACTTGCGGCAAGTCTTTGATTGTAGGAGAGGGGCAAGGGGAATAGAAATGAAAAAATTGCTCGTAACGACAATTTTCTGGCAATTCGCTTTGTGTATTTTGTATTTGTTGACGTTTTATATATATATGTAAATGTGAAAAAACAACAAATAGAAAAATATTTTGGAAACCGAATTGCCTTGTATAGACGCATGAAGCAAGTTCAAGAGAGAACGACAAGAATTGCCGCAAGTAAACTCGCCTAATCTAAATCAAGACTTATGAACTAAATTTCTATACATATGTGCACAGTGGTCCGTGTCAGTCTGTGTACCATATATTTTGAAAGTTCATACGTTGGGGAATTAATAGATGAACATATGGGCCTGAGGGGCATTCCTTCTTTGTGTATTTTTGGCAAGTCGTATATTCTTG